AAAAACAATGTCGTCCCCAAGTGAAATCTGGTTTGCCTTCCGACATGTTGTCCATCCTTCTGTCATCATCAAACGACCATCTGGCTTGAGATAAAGGTGAGTAAGGCATGATCTCCCCGTTTGATCTTGAAGCATTATAGTCTCTTTGATCAAAATGCCTTGAGAGCTCATAAGTCCTTCAGCTATGGCTATATCCTTCGGAATCAACTGAAAAGAAAAACATGTACTACTGATCAGATGTTTAATCAGAAAAGGGAAAGAAAAGGTTTTCATTTGTTTTTGGGTGATCAAATACTTACCATGGCATATAGATTATAGGACTTCAAAGTTTGTATAAAAAACGCATTCTCCGATTTGAACAAGATGGCCCCCCCCGTTGATGTTTCTGCCAAATGATCACTTGCAGGCCTCTTGGCTGCTGCTTTTACATCCTTCTCGCAACAAGTTTTATCATAGATGGTGACATTAAACTCTGAGCCACCATCATAATAGAAAATCAGAAAGTCCTCAAGTTCTATAAAATGATCCTTCACAAAACCAGGCCAACCCTTATGGAAGAACAAGCCATCCCATCTCTGTTCCAGTTCCACAGCCCAACATTTTCCACTAGGGCCTCTGAGAGTACATTTTCCAAGTCTTCGTCCATTGAAGTTCTTGATAAATGCAGGTGGTATAGGCTGCAAAAGTGTATATCTTTTAGAAAAAGCCAAAACGAAAGAATAAATGAAAAGCTTGTACACTTTCAAGCTATGAAATTAACACAAGGGCGTACACAACAGGAAACCAGAAAGGAGGTGAAGATGTTACCAGATGCTGAGAGAAGTCATCACCAACGAGGAACATTCTAAAGGATGGCCTTTCTAGTGGAGACTTTAGCTTCTTATCCATTCGAAATCTGATATGTATTATGAGTTGCCTTTGAGATAGATGATTCTTAGAGTTCAAAAGAAAGCCAAATGGGCAACCAGGGCTGGGTTGAATTTTAAACACAAGAAACTCCTTGGAGAATCTAGATTAGGATATTACTATACTACCTACACAAGAAACTTAATAAGGTATGCGTTGTTTATCTCTGTATTTAAAAAGAAAAATAGTCAGTAAGTCGGCACACGCATACCATGTAGAAGGCACTCTGTGGAGGTAAGATACACCGACAATTCAAAAGTTCAGCCTTCAGATCTTCCCCGGCCTCATTAACGACTAAGTTGTTGTTAAACACAGGGAATGCAAGTTGTTCACAGTATTGAATAATAGAGGCACCTAAGACAACAGAGTAGGGAGTCAATTTGAGAATGATAAAGAGCATGGACTTTAAATAATGGAGTCAAGAAATGTCACGACAATTGAGTTGAAACGAGATAACAAATGACTTAACCGAAAGGACGAGACACGGAAAATCCATCAGTTTTTTGCCATTCTCATAACGTGGTTTTGTTTTATCCTCTGGGCGTCTCTTGGCTCTCACGTAACACTTACATGCTCAGACCAAAGGACATGACAACTTACTGTATCAGTACGGTACCTTCCAGTCCCCTGCAACTCAAGCTGCCCACGTCAACTTTTAATTATCTTCCTGAAATATGGTTCTATTGGGTCGTTTTCTTAGCTGCCCTTTTATTTATATTTTACAATAATAAGAATATATAAATATGGATGTTTTTTTTCTTCTCCATATCATATGGAGTTGGACAATTGGAGACGAAGCAAAACAAAATATGAAGTGGGCTTAAGGGTTTTTTTCGTCTCCATATCATATGAAGAACAAGCCATCCCGTCTCTGTTCCAGTTCCACGGCCCAACATTTTCCAGTAGGGCCTCTCATAGTACATTTGCCAAGTCTTCGTCCATTGAAGTTCTTGATAAATGCAGGTGGTATACGCTGCAAAAGTTTA